TGCTCAATTCCTTGCCATAGAGATTGCATGCATCCCTATATATGCAGTTTATACGTGCGTGCAACAGCTCCTTTTTAAACAACTTTCTTTAAACAACCCAGTTGGTGTAAACAACCCCCAACTGAACAACAGCTCCTTTTTAAACAACCGTCTTTAAACAACACCGGTTGTTTAAATTGTGATTTTAAACAAGTTGTTCAAAATGTTGATCAACTAAGTGTTTAAACTTTAAACAACTCGAGATGCTTAACATTTTAAACAACTCTCAGATCAGGTCACCCGTTAACATTTTGGTGAACAAGTTGTTTAAACTTTTAAACAACTTGTTCACAAAAATGTTAACTGTGCAGGACGTTGTCCCTGGACCCCGCCAAGGTCCATTAGCCGTTTAAAAACGAACCACCTAATTGAAAAACTCTGGTTATGGGCCTGCATCCTGACAGACGGCAGGAAGTTTGCAGATGAAGATTCTTCCCACTGAAGCACAACCCGTGTTATTCCAATTCTTTGAATACGTGTAACTCGCGACGCAATTACCACCACCATTTGGTGCATACGATTGCCAGGAGGTGTAGTCGACTGGTGTCCCGTCAGACCAAAGAAGTTGACCATTAGGGTCTGCCCGATTAAGTCCGATCCAATACCATGTGTGCCCGGAGGAACTCTGTAAGCCAGGGCAAACAAAAAATAACAAGAAACTCAGTACTCAGAACAATCAGTACTATAAATCAGTTTGTGCATGAATATAAACCAATATAAAAATAGAAACGAATATTTTGTGTAAGGCAGGGCTCCCACTTAGCCGAGTTGGAACCTCGAGTTGTGGCGAGCTGGTGCGATCTTATGGCAAGCCGTTTTATTATTAATTGATATCAATAAATCAATTCTTGTTATCAAGAAATAATTTTATGTTGTAAAGCAATGGTAATTCTTGATATCAAGAATTCGATTTCGTGATATCAGGAATTCGATTTCGTGATATCAAGAATTGAATTCTTGATATCAAGAAATATGTTTTAATGATAAAACTGCTTGCCATATAGATCGCGCCAGCTCGCCACAACTCGAGGCTCCAACTCGGCTAAGTGGGAGCCCTGCTTAAGTTGCATGTTTTGTTTGATCAGAATCGTGCAGCTACGCGTATGCGCAGACATGGGCAATTAACCTGTTTTCGCCCTTCCCGACATAAGGTATTCAAGTTTAGACAATAACAAACTTTTACAATCTCATTTAGAATAATTCTGGTGGAGCGGGGAGACTGTTATGCTACAAGTAATTCCGGCCTTAGTAGTAGTAGTAGTAGTAGTAGTAGTAGTAGGTATAGCACACCAAACATAATTACAACAAACACATTTTATTTGATGGTTGCAAATGATCAAGCTTTATGAAAGCTTCAAAAAATAAAAAGACAGAATTGAATTGGTCAACGCGTTGTGATTTTATACCATTTTTTTATACCATTTTTTTGGCAAAAATTGCATAATTCGACAACGTTGACAACTTAATTCATCACTTTCTTGGACACAAATAATAAATTAAATTATCAGACACTAAAATATCATCTTTGTGGTAAAAAATACAAAAAAGAAAAATCATATATCTATTACCGTTTTGAAAACAGAAGCCCACAAAATAAGTCATTTTTGCCATTTTTGCGAATCTGCAGATATAAAAAAGTTGTGAAAATAACTAAGTCCGCCTAATTAATATGCGCATATGTAATCAAATCAAAACCGAACATGATACGTCAGTGAAACATATGTATATCAGACAGGTATGGAAATATATTTCATTTGAAATTTAAAAAATCATGAATATTCATCAAATATGCAAATTAGGTCATTTCAGCTAATTATATATTCGCGAGAAACCATTCAACAGGCCATAACATTCCACAGAGACTGAATTTTAGAGTAAAAAAAACTTTGGTGACCTCAGTACAATTGTGGCTACTTTAAGTGTAAATAACAAATTGATTCAATAAGTGAAACACATGAGGATATTGCATTTTTGTAGAGGAGTTTTATACATTGAGGTGCATTTTCACCACGCAGAATAGCAACGCGAGTCAATGGGCGATCAGCGGGCCATGTCACACATGGCTGAAAAGACAATATTCTAATTAAATAATTAAAATATTTCCCACATGCCTATAAAAACTACACAGAATTGTAGTTAAAGGTATGCTTGAAATATATGTGAAATAAAAATTTAAAAATATTGTTTAGTTTTTGTTAAATACATTTACAAAAATTGTTATTTCTACCAACTGACTGCTGTTGTGTGTGTGTGTTCGCGGGGCAGACTTTTTGCACAGGCAGTGTGATCACCCTAGTAGTAGCTCTATACAGAGCGATTTTATTTTTCATTTTTTTTCACATAATATAAACAATGACAGACAATAAGACAATTTTGGTCATTGTAATGCAAAATGATTTGGTTACAGGAAATGAAGAAAAAAACGAACCTACTTGAAAGCAATGCTTGTTAGGTGTAGGTTCGCACATTAATAATTAAACGACTAAAAAAGAGCAGGAGTTCTTGAGCCATTTCAAATGGATATTTCAATCTTCAATTACCGTTTTGAAGAAGAGCCCAATTTTCGGTTTCTAGAATACTATATTTGTCATCATTTTGTATTATGATGATCATATATTTGAAATACATGTGTTTAATTTTAATTTGTATTATGTTTGTGAAGTTTTGACCGAATAAAAAAAGAAAAAAAAAAAAAGAAAAAAGGAAAGATGTATACACGAACGGATTATTCAAATGCGTACATTATAGAGAGTGACGATGAATGTCCGCTCTTCTACACTATGAATAGAAACCAAGTCTGCATGGCATGACTTTTCATTGGTCAGATTCCGACAGGTAGACATGGCCTGAGGAAAGCTGACTTCATTGTAGAAGAATTTGTAGCAACTTCCTTGGAAAGAGGTCCAGGACGCATCCGGACATTTCGCTGAAATAAATCCACAGAAAAGTTGGCTGTTGCAATGCAATGTGTTTATTAAAAAAAAGAAAAGAATAATAGACGATTTTTGCGAAATATATCCCCGTCTATACAAAGTATATGTTTTATCTATTTATTTCATTAAATAAATATTTCTTGAAATGACCACTGATAAATAATATTTTCTTTATCATTAGAATTTCGTTTCTTGATGAGACAGACATGATAGATGAATTATGTCGTATGGGACACAATGTACGAAATCGCCCCTTCCGATGACTGAACATGCAGTCATTTGTCTTGCAATCATGTGTCTGTTTAAAATCTGAATCAGGTGACTGTAAGCTCATTCAAATACTTCTAAGTTAAACAGTGGCGGTTTTTGTAATACTAATGGAGAAGAATTTAGGGATGAAAAAAGTAGCTACTCGATCCCAACAAAAAGTTCTACGCGTACTCACTTATCTGAGTGTAACAAGATACAACAGTGTTTGACCATTGACAATGATTTAACCAAAATAAGAAGCAACATGTGTGTTATAACATTAAAAAAAGAAATGTGAAGTGCAGTACCGCATTCTGTTGTTAAGAAATTAATAAGATGATGTTGTCAGTTTTATGAGGGTCTAAGAAAGAGAAAATGAAAAGAAATGTATGTTAGAATAAAATTACTGAAGGGGGTTTATTAGGTATGGTCAATATACAGGCAAAATTCGGTTGTATGCGACTTTCCTGGATAAGGAGATTGTTTGACGATGAGAAAGCTATATGCACATTTTATTTTCTCATTGGTTAAATAGGGTTGGTGGGTGGGTGGAACTCTATTGATGTTCCAGTTTAATTGTAATAACAGAGACATGGAGAGACTATGCCGAATTATGCTTCTTGGTCAGAAGTCATATATGTAAATACACCCATGGTTACAAATATTGAAAATTAAATATCATGGAATAATAGTAATATCACTTTTGATATCCAGGTATTGTATTTCAAGTTATTCGAAAAACCTGGGATTTTTAAAGTAAAACATATTTTTAGTCAAGGACATTGGAATAATGTGGATTTCATGTGTCAAATATATAAGTTTCCAAAACTGTTGGTGTCTTTCAAATTTTCGAATGTGAAGAAAGCCTTTCCAAAATTATGAGGTGATTGAAAGAGTAAATAAGTATATTAGACAAAAGGTTGGTGTTTTATATAGATTAAGACAGTTTGTACCTAGAAATATTTTATTGTTATTGTATATAACATTAATTCAACCACGTATGAAATTGAGGTTTGGGGAAACAATTATGAAATTAATGTGAAATGTTGATTCTTAAGGTAAAAGATGGCACTCAGAGCTTTCTTTCGGGCACATTCAAAACCAATATCCCAGGATTTAAAATTATTGAATGTGTATCAACTACATAAACTATCTATTTGTGTTTTTAGGCATCAATTATTGATAATAGATTGCCACCGTCCCTTATTCAGTACTGCTCTTTCGTAGAGCACATATATGAGAAAAGACAAAGAGAAAATAAAAAGCTCAGTAAGCCTAAAGTAAGGACAACGCAAGGTACTTTTTATGTGTCATACATAGGCGTATGCTTCTGGAATAATGCAAACTTCAATTACTTGTTTTCGTAGTACTCTTACTGCACAAATGTTAATAGAATAAATATGTTCACCTTCTAACCAAGCTTCCTGCCTTTTATTAGACAATAAACATGCACTCTATATTTGTAGACAGTTATGATACTTTACTGTATTATCTGATACGGAATGTCTATTTGAACACGTTAAGGCTTTGTACTAAACACACAAACATGTATTATGTTAGATACATAGAATAGTATGTAGCTTAAGTTGTTCCTATATTCAATAATTCATATTATATAAAAACATTGTTAAATGTTCAGATACTGTACGGTACCCGACATGATAAGCATTGCATGTTATTTTCTGGTCCCTATTTTTCATTCGAGATAATTGCTAAACATACATTTATTATTGATATTATTGTTATAGTACTCTATTTGAACGTTTGGATAATAAAACCTCAACTCAACTCACTTAATACATAACCAGCAGCACAGGAGCAACTAAATGTACCAGGCATGTTCGTACACACTTCATTACTTGTATCACACGAGTCTGAATGAACATCACATTCATCGACATCTGTATGAGAGGGGAATTGAAAACAATAAAAACAAATTTTAACCAAAAATAATATGGAAGAATATGGTGCACACACAATTAAACATATGTTTATAAAATTATGTAAATATCATCTATCTCAAAGATCTTGTGAATGCTTGTTAAGATCCTTGTATTCATGTTTTTCTCTTAACCTTCATAATGTTATGGCATATTCCATATCAAGACAAATTAATCTAAATATGAGTATCTTACCATTGCAAGTTCTTCCATCCAGGTCTAACTCATAACCAGCTGTACAGGAACAATTGAATGTACCAAGCATGTTTGTACAAACTCCATTAGTCGCATCACACGAGTCTGAATGAACAGCACACTCATCCACATCTGTATGAGAGGGGAATTGAAAACAATTAAAAACAAATTTTAACTGAAAAAAGTATTGAAGAATATGGTGCATCAAACAATTCATTCTGTGCAGGTCCTACTGTATGCTGCCTTAGGTAGCATGAACTTAAGTGATAACATCTTAGTGACGATGTCAATTTTATAAATAGATTCGAATATGAGGATTAGATGATTCCTTTCTTGTAGCCAAACTTCAGTGTGTGTGTTAGGTATCTATGAATATTTCCGGTCTTGATTGTTCATTAGGGTTAAGACATTCAATATCCTTAAAAACAATAATTATGTCAATATCATCATACCACAGAGACCTCATGAATTCTTTCTAAGGTTTTTTATTCATGTATTTTCTATTAAATTACATTCAAAATGTTATGCTGTAGTCTTTATCTTGACAAATATCTGAATATGAGTATCTTACCATTGCAAGATTTTCCATCCATGTCTAGCTCATAACCAGCAGTACAGGAACAATTAAATGTACCAGGAATGTTCGTACAAACTCCATTAGTCGTATCACACGATTCTGAATGAACAACACACTCATCGACATCTGTATGAGAGAGGAATTGAGAGAAGAAAAAAATCATACAAACGTACACAAACATAATTAAACATATATTTATACAACCATGTAAAGGTACTATGTCCCTTTTGCAGCCAACCTCAAATGCTGTAGTACTTTGCAGGAATTATGAATATGTCCTGTATGTCTTATCTGTGAAATTTAAACGTTAGCAGTGTCCTCATATTCAAATTATGCAAGGAAAACCGTTTACTTGCTGGACTTCACTGTCAGACACTATTGAGTGACTGACTGGCTTTTTTCTTCTTTGGTAATAACATACATGAAAAGAGTTGTAAAGGGTACATGAGTATTTGTCTACATCAATAACCCACTTCTTGCGATGGCCAAAATTAAACTGATTGAATCTTTGCGCAGCATAAAACGTATGACCATTCGGTACAATTGTCTGAAAATCAAGACTATTACTTTTGGGCTCTATAGCCCTAAAGTCGATTTGACAACTAATAGTCGTTATTTTCCAACTTGAAGACATTTTAAAGCCCCACCTTTGTGAGGGAAGTTCTAAATTAGTATTATCTTTCAAATGCAGTTGGAATTTAACTTTTTCATTTTTTTGGCCTGCTAATGGGACATAGTCCCTTTAATGTCATCATACCTCATAGAACTTGTGAATGTTTTTCAAGATTTGTTGTTCATGTTATTTCTCTAAAATACCCTTCATAATCTTTCTAAGATTGTGATATTCATGTATTTTCTATTTCATGATGTAATGCTGTAGTCTATAACAAGACAAAATAATGTAAATATGATTATCTTACCATTGCAAGTCCTTCCATCCAGGTCTAAGTCATAACCAGCAGTACAGGAACAATTGAATGTACCAGGCGTATTCGTACAAACTCCATTAGTCGTATCACACGAGTCTGAATGAGCATCACACTCATCGACATCTGTATGAGAGGGGAATTGAAAACAATAAAAACAAATTTTAAACGAAAATGAGGTTGAAGAAAATGGTGCATAACAGAATTCATTCCGTGCAGATCCTACTGTATACTGCCTTAGGTAGCATCAAATTAAGTGATAACATTTTAGTGACGATGTCAAGTTTATTGTAACCACCACCAGTGAATTACCCCCTAGAATAACTACCCCATAGGACAACTACCCCCAGACAACTACCCCCTAGGATAGTTGAACGGGGGGTAGTTGTCCTAAAGGATGGTTGTCGTAGGGGGTAGTTGTCCCAAGAGGTAGTTGTCCGGGGTAGTTGTCATATGGGGTAGTTGTCATAGGGGGTAGTAGTGCGGGAGATAGTTGTCCGGGGGTAGATGTCCCGTGGGTAGTCGTCCTAGGGAGTAGTTGTCCTAGGGGGGTAATTGACTGAGGGTGGTTATCGTGGGGGGGGGTGGATGTCCAGGGGGTAGGTGTCCTAGAACCCAAGTTTATAAGTGGATTCAAATATGAGGATTAGATGATTCGTTTCTTGGAGCCCAACTATGACAGTGTGTGTATTATGTATCTATGAATATTTTTGGCCTAGATTACCCATTAGGGTTAAGATATTAAATATCCTTAAAAACAATAATTATGTTAATGGCATCATACCACAGAGACCTCGTAAGTGCTTTCTTAGGTTTTTTGCGATTCATGCAATTTCTCTTAAATTACATTCATAATGTTTAGCCGTAGTCTATATCTTGACAAATAATCCGAATATGAGTATCTTACCATTGCAAGTCATTCCATCCATGTCTAAGTCATAACCAGCAGTACAGGAACAATTGAATGTACCAGGCATGTTTGTACAGACTCCATTGGTCGTATCACACGAGTCTAAATGAACATCACACTCATCGACATCTGTATGAGAGGGGAATTGAGAGAAACAAAATCATAAAAACGTACACACACACACTTAAACATACACTGTCGCTCATAAAGTTGGAATATTCTTGTTTTACCCCAATTTATGGAATTGTTTTAAAAACAATTTAAAAATAATAGATCTAGATAATAGTATACATTCTCTGATTTTATGGAATAATAGTTTATTGCATTTTACCCCATTTCCCTACATAAAAAAATCCTATGTCTGCCCATGCCTTGAGCCATAATGCATGGCCGTCCAGAGGATTTTGTTATGTTGGGAACCGGGGTTAAATGCAATAAATTATTGAAAATTTATTGCATTTTCTGTTTTTTATTTTATTTATGGAAACTGCCCCCTACCTTAGCCCCCGCTGCGTACAGTCATGGTTCATTGACAAAGCAATGGCCTCGTAACTGTGAGGCCCCAGGATCAAAACCGTGTCGATGTGCTATATTAGTGCCCTTTTGTGGGGCATTAATCCTCATTACTGTCATTTAAGACTTAAGGGCGTAGATCCCCTAGTTGATAAACATAGTAGAATACACATGCTTTGGCAGTCACGCAAAACACACATTGTCAAATTATTATTCAATAAAATCTGAGAATGTATATTATAATCTAGATCTATTATTTTTAATTTTTTTTATTTTAAATTCCATGAATTGGGGTAAAACAAAAATATTCCAACTTTATGAGCGACAGTGTATATACGTTTATAAAAATCATATAAAATATCATCATACCACATAGACATTGTGAATGCTTTTAAAGATCTTTTTATTCATGTCTTTTCTCTTAAATCACCTTCATAATGCTATATCGTATTTTATATCAAGACAAAATAATCTAAACATGAGTATCTTACCATTGCAAGTTCTTCCATCCAGGTCTAACTCATAACCAGCAGTACAGGAACAAGTGAATGTGCCAGGCATGTTCGTACAAACTCCATGAGTCGTATCACACGAGTCTAAATGAACATCACACTCATCGACATCTGCATGAAAGGGGAATTGATTTTTTGTAAATACAACATACATACATACACACACGCACACCCACTTTAAAAAAAAAACAATTTTGTTTTATTTCTCCAAATGTGCAATACAAACCATAACATACAATTGAATAAAATAAACGTGTTCAATATTGATGCTTTTACATAAACATAATTAAACACAAACTTATTTGCAGTATATATAACTTAGCAACACACGTACGCACACACGCACACACACACACACACACACACACACACGCATATGTATTGTTTGTTTAGTTTTAATATAAAGCGTGTGTGTGATAAATGAAAGCAATAAATTGGACATAAAGACACGCTAGAAAACGTATGGAAGCGTTGGGAATTTGAGTGGTGATAATAACTAATCATGGGCTAAAATGCATTCCATACCTTGGTAATGTCTTCTCATTAACATAAACCCACTCAGAAAAAAAGCGGACACTCTTTATTGTTTATAATTTTCATATAAACCGTCAATGAAATATAATAGAATAGGCCTATATATGAAATTTGATAACAATTAATACTACACCAACCTCAATTAATATCCAATTGTGAACTTTAACGTTTTGATGTGCTTATTCATATAACCGTTAAAAAGTCCGATTGAGAAAATAGAAAAATCGAGACAGTAGCCATTCAAATGTAAATTAACATGTTCAACTGTGAGACATTCCTGTTAAACAATTAAAACAAAGACTGAGAAACAATGAGGTGGATTGAGCTCTGGATGGTTTTGAAAAGCACGCCCAAAGTGCCTCTCCTTTTCAGCCAAGATCGTGGACAAGCCATAGGATACGTCAAATGCTCATCAACATGTGTATGGCCAAATGCCCCTTTAACAATTATCTCTCAGAGACTCGTTTATTGTTAAATTACTATGCTCACTCATACATGAATGGTATGATTCCGGTTGCATATCAATCAAAAGAAGATAATGTTATCTCTATTTTGATAACTGTATGACAAGTTTATATTAAATATCTATCTGAAGACCTTAGCTATAAATAGGGTCCACTTTTTTCTTTTTTGTTGTTGTTGCTGTGTGTATTAAAAAAAAATGTCATGCCTACCAATCGCACACGTTGGACCGTAAAAGCCTGTGGAACAGGTACAGGTAATGTCATCGAGTGTCTCCTTGCAGGTTCCTCCATTTTGGCATGGAGTAGAAAGACAGTCTGTTTGTGAAAGATGGATGGTTGAGAAAGAGACACGGTGAGAAGAATGGAAAGAGCGAGAGAGAGAGGGGGAGATAGACAGACAGAGAGAACGGGTGAGGAATATAGACAAAGAGAGCAAGGAGGTGAGGTAGCGCAAGAAAGAGATTGGAATATTGAAAGAAGGAAAGAGATAGGATAATAACAAGACATAGACAAAATTAAAGAGAGAGAGAGAGAGAGAGAGAAGGGAGGGAGAGAGAGAGAGAGAGAGAGAGAGAGAGAGAGAGAAAGAGAGTGACGGAGGAGGCACATTTAGTAAGAAAATGAAAAGAAAACAAATCCCTAACATAAATATCGTTTGCAAACTCTAACAGAATCTATATTTATAAAGCAAAAAACAAGTTTTGATGAATCTTACAAACCCTTTATAACTATTAAAGAGAGATCAACTATGTGATTTCTACTTTTCATACATGAGTATTTTTTACAGAACAAATTCATGATGGTTGGTAACCAGTTTTAAAGACTGCTTTTGTTACAACCATCTCGAAGCCATGATGAATTTATCCGTAATCTTCTTTATCTTATTCCTTCCTTGGGTTTCCATTTAATCCTATTTATGATTGAGTACCCATTGCTAGTTTAAGGCTTCGTGCTGATATGAAACTGCAAAAACAGTGAAAGTACTTATGTACTGCACTTTAAAGTTATGTATGTTATTTAAAAAAAAAAGCTCAATAAACAGGCGTGGGACTGCTGTTACTCACAGTTGCCATTCATTAATGAACGAGCAAAAAATGAAAAATAAAAGACCCGGCGGTTTGTCATTTTAAAGGAATATATCCGAGTACCAACTACACCTGGGTATCTGGACCACCACACTATTAGAGCAGAGACGTAGACACAAAGATTTAAAAGCAAAATTAACTTTGAAACCATTGTGTCGTAAGAGATTTAAAGGCTTACATGGCAGTTTGCAGACGAGACTATTTGCATTAATTCTCCTCATCTCTGGCCCCAAGACATCCTTGTTGGTTACTGATTTGGTTTTCAAGGCAACAATCTCTCCGTTTGGAAGTGTGATGGTGCCGCATCTCAGCTCAGTTAGAGTGACCATTTTTAAAACTGGAAATCGATGTATACACAATAGGTGGCAAGATTTAGAATTTATCAAAACATATCTTTGCAAACGGATGGCTGAATTGTGACAATGTTTTACATATATTAATTCTAAAAAATACAAGAAATACAGATATAAATACAATTCTAGCAAATTTAACCAATTCCTATGTGAATACATTTATGTAATTCAGTTTACTGAATAAAAAAATAGTATGATTTGCGCAGATTAAACACATTATAACAATTGAACAAATATTTTAAAGTTTAAGACGAGGAATATAATTTATTAACAAGGACACATATGAAATGAGTAAATGATCATCAACCAATCCTTAAACCTCCTTTAAGGCCTTTGCGAAAGAAAAAACTGTGATGGATCAACTTAAGAGCAATGGCAATGCCCTATACTTTTGCCTTTTGATCATGCTGGGATCACGTAATAGCTCTTTCACGAATTTAAATGGGCGACGCACAAGGCTATTAGTAGAGCTCTGGTAATGAGATTGCATTGTGAAAGAAACTGTGTAGGATATCATAGTTGATGCATATGAGGTTTCGGAATATCAAAATTATAAGAAGCTGCATGTCACAGTCTTGCCACTTAAAAGTCACATGCACTGTGCACTGAGATGTATATCCGGAACTACACAAACGTGTGCATGAAAGAGAAATCCTTTTCAGGGGACCTGGGGGGGGGGGGGGGGGGTCTTTCACAAAGATTTGAAGTCGAACTTAACTCTAAGTTGGACTTAAATATTATGGAGAGCCATTTGTAGCCTCATTTTGAAATATATTAAAAGGAAAAATTCAAGTATTTTAGACTTTTTATGAATTCCAGATCAAGACCATGAAATCTCCTATGATGATAGAAAATATGAATGATTTAAATCAACATTTTATGCCTTTTAAAATAGCCTTTATAAAACATTTTCAAGGATGCTAATGGCTTTCCATAATTGTCAAGTCCAACTTAGAGATAAGTTCAACTTAGGATCTTTGTGAAACACCCCAAAAATTTTCTATGATACTTTTCCTCATTGACGTAAATAGAATGAAAAAGCTCACAAAAAATTGTTCACCTATCCCAGAACTCAACTTTGAAAGTCATTGCCGTTGTGTAACATGGGATTTGATGGGACTCCTCCCGCATGGAATCAATAATGGAAGCTAAGCTAAATCTAGCTTTAGAATATATGTATATGGGGGATAGCTTTGACGCGGGATAAGTGGTACACCCCCATGTAACTCAAAAAGTTATTCACCTTTTAAATATATTTGAATCCTGCAAAAGGTCTTTATTGTTCATGTAAAAAATACATCTACAGCTATACCACGATTTTACATTACGGTTTAACTATCACTTATCTTTTGCCGACCACCCCCTTGTTTTTCGGTGTTCACTGTCAAAGGTTTTACCAGTATACCACTTAGATTTGCTAAACACTCTGCTTGCAGTATAATGAAAACTGAACAAAAAATAAAAAAATCTTAAGGCATTTTCTTGTTTTTTCCCCTATTCGATGTAAACTGGGACACTTTGTCCCATATTACACCAGTTACAGTGTGTGTATGTTAGGAATTGCAAGTTTAACCCTTACTGTACTAAGGGGGGGGGGGGCCTGGGAGGCCCCCCTCGACATTTTCGGAAATTGCGCCGCAACCGCTTGGAATTTTGAATTGTCGTTTTATTATTTTGTCCCCTCAAGTCTTACGCACATTTGATGACATTTTCGTCGAAATCGGATATACCTGTAAGGTGTTACATAACAATTAGTATGCGCATGTCATCAAAAAGTGCTATAATTGCATACATTCATGTACAAGCAGAAAAATGTGAATACAGGTTTAGATGTATTTCTTTCTAAGTGGGAGATATGAATTGATATCAAATTGCTTTTATATGTTACTCAAAGTAACTTGATGTATTCCAGAACAAAAGAATACACTAGAAATAAAACAATAGATATAATAAGAAAAAAAATACATAAGAAAATAAAATGATGAATGCGTAATTTGCGTATTTATAATTTAGGCAAATTAACCTATGCATTTTCAAATGTCATAAAAATAATGAAACCTCATGAATTTGAGATGAAGGAAACGTTTATTCAATTCATTTACAAGATTCTTCACAAGAAACAAAATATCGATCGGCCGAATTTACAAATTTTGGGACACACAAAAAAGAAATATATCCTGCGTTCGCGCCTGTGTATATGACATTCAAAATAAAACAAACAGATCATTAATATATACTTACTCGAAAGCACGAAGCTGGTTCGAATAAGTTGTCTTCTAACAAATCCACTTTTCATCTTCAATAATGCACAGCCTTATTATAAGCAAACAGCCTTATTATAAGCAACAGCAGATACACGATATGCTCGACTCTGCTTCAGATTTTGATAAGATAGAATGACGAATGACGGGCACGGAGCAGTGGGTGAATGTGATGCTTTAAAATCATGCGCATTAAAGATGACATTTGACGGGAATAAACATTCTGACTGAGAGAGGGAGACAGAGAAAGAGAGAGATAGAGAGAGAGAGTAAGAGAAAGAAGAAAAAAAACAAATAAAGAGAGTTTGATAGAGAGAGAGAGAGAGGGAGAAGGACAGTAAGAGGGAGACAGAGAGAGAGAGAGAGTAAGAGAAAGAAAAAACAAAAACAAAGAAAGTGTGATAGAGAGAGAGAGGGAGAAGGACAGAAAGAGAGAGAGAGAGAGAGAGAAGGCGATAATGAGTGTGAGAGAGATCCACATAAAGAGAGACAGAGAGAGTGAAAGAGAGAGAGAGAAAGTTAGTATATATATATATATATATATATGTGTGTGTGTGTGTGTGTGTGCGTAGTCGTGTGTGTGTGGGAAAGAGAGAGACACAGACAGAGACAAAGACATACACAGAAAGGGTAATGAACTTAGCGTCAACAAGCCATTTTCGTAATGTAACCAAATTTGATGCAAGCGTCTTTATAAAGTGCCTCGATGTAAGCTATTTCATTCGCCTGATAAGAATAATAGTATTTCAATAAACAATAATCCGAATTATGGCTTGCCCAACCTAGCAATTCCTAATATGCAGTTTTTCTAAACTCACCACGGTTTATTATCTTCAGGATTCATATTGAAAATCATGACTATCACCTGGATCCAGATGTTATTTCATGTACCTCTGTACCGATAGCCTACATCGTTTCTGAACACACGCACTATGCCCTACACAACATTTTGCCCCCATCCCCAACTTTCGCCTGATTTTAATTGGAGAGGGGAGGGGAGGGGCATTTCAGAGAACGGAGGGGGTTGGGTGAACGTTCTGAACAACACCATGCACTATATACATGGTTAAGATTGCAATTCATGTATGTCACTTAAAATCAGGTCTTATTGTATGTATTATTTGACCGATAGCCAAATTTGGTTGTTGGCGTATATTACCAAAGCAACGGGAACTAAGACAGATTTATCATTAAATATCATGAAACTGCATCATTTGATATCACACAACCTATCAAAATAGTCATCTGCTTGATGATAGCATGTATTCGCGTTACACTCTATTTTCTAGCTCACTTTGTTAGCCTTGCTATAAAAGCCATTTGACAGTCATTGCCGTTTCAGCTAGTGTCAGCTTTAGAGCGCTATAACTTTTTTGTTAAAAATGCAATTAACTTATAATTTGAATATTATATTAACGATACTTATGAACACTTTTCCAAAAAGATTTAAGTCAGAAGTAATAATAATTCTTTAAATGTGGAAAAATAAGTATTTTGGAGCAATTCATATTTTCGGGAAAATATGTAAAAATTCACATTTTTAGCTACTAAGTAAAAATCGGTATGCAAATCAGCCTCAAACCTATTGAACGTGATATCACCTTGTAAGACATTTAATTCTCTTTCATATGACACCTCACATATCGTAAAATGAAATTCCCTTAAAGTAGATATTCATTGATTTTCAAAACTAACTTTATTTTCATTATTGCAAAGTTGACACTTTGATTCGACAAGGTTATCAAAATTCAATGCTTGGAAACATGCGAAGTAATGAATATTATACATTACAAAACGCATTAATACAGCCCCGGCATAGCACCTGAAAAGCTCTCCGAACGCTGCTGAGATGTGTGACATCACAGTATGGACATGATTTGCACAAGCAGAAGATGTCCCATGACATCTTACACATTTTCAGTGCCTGTGTTTTCATCTTTTCTTGAGTCCTTTCTCTTACTTCACTACCGTCAGGCTAAATGTATAATCTATTGCCTCACTCTAAACCCCGTGCATGGTTTTATTTTAATGACAAATGCAGCGATACAAAAATAAATGAATCTGTCGCTTGTAAACTAAATAAGACGCCATTGTGTATTCAGCTGCACACACCGCGCTATGTTCGGCGTTTCAAGAGGGAACAAATGCCGTCCTTAATATCATTCCGGGGGTTTTCAATTTGAAAGTCTGGTTTCTTTAATTGTTAATTAACCCCTATCCTGTGTATTTACAAACAAAAGATTTTAGTTATCAGAATCGGTTTCATATCCCCTTTTGAATGGTTTGAAATGCCATCACATTTATATACACTAAACTCATTACAATTTGACAAATAATAGCTTTGCAATTATGTTCATTCTTTATGGGATGTCGTCTGCTTGGGCAGTATTGGTCCATATTATGACGTCATTAAAACATCGTTATTTTTCTGGCGAATCTCTCGTATATCCCAGCTGCTATGGAAGTGGTTGTATTTGTATTTGTATAAATCACCCGATATGTAGTTGACCTAAACTTGTACGATGGCCATCTGTTAGCCTATTAGTTTCTAGTGATACATTAGTTGACATATTTGTGATTTTTCTTTGAATTTCCACTTTAAAGAAGCTTCCAAAATTGATCAACAATAGTTAGACAGGCCGCTGAATTTTCAGCATTAAAATTTCATAGTAGTTTACCTAAACGTTTGCAGGGAGGTGCCTTAAGCACGTTGAT